AGGTAGTCCTCGACTTACGACCATTCATTTAGTGACCGTTGGAAGTTACAGCAGCATTGAAAAAAGGGACTAACGGCCTAGGATTCAAACTTAACAACCATAGCAGCATCCCCCACGGTCACGTGATTAAAATTTGGGTGGTTTGGCAACCAGCATGTATTTATGACGGTTGCAGTGTCCTCCGGCGGTCCTGTGGTCGTCATTTGCTAACCTTCCGAACCCGACTTCCAACAAGCAGAGTCAACGGGAGAAGCCGGATTCGCTTAACGACAGTGTGCATCACTTAACAACTGCAGCGATTCGCTTAACAACCATGGCAAAAGAAAATGGGGCACAACTCACGTAGCAATTGTCTTGCCTTAGGAATGGAAATGTTGGGCTCAATTGTGGTCGTAGGTCGAGGGCTATAACAGAATCTGGAAAAGCGATCCAAGTTGCTATAAACAAAACCAAGGTTGGGGTTTGTCTGTGGAGATTCTCAGCCATCCAGGTCATAGTTTTTTTATTATTATTATTATTTTTTTATTATAAATAATAAAAAAGGTCATAGTTATCCCAAAGGTGCTTTTTTTCAAGAGGCAACTGGACTTTCTTGTTTTTTCTTTGAAGACGTTTCGCTTCTCATCCAAGAAGCTACTTCAGCTCTGACTGGATGGTGGGGAATGGAAGGATTTATACTCCTTGCAGACAGCCGGTCATTTGCCTTTTTAGAGAGTCGTTGAGGTCACTTGGAGGTTTAGCTGTGTCCTCAGGCCCACCTGAATAGTGCAAAGTGTGTGGAGCCTTCTTGGCTGCAGGATGTGAAAGGACCCCGGGCAGAAGACATCCTGCAGCCAAGAAGGCTTCATACCCATTTGCACCACTCAGGTGACCCTGAGGACACAGGTGAACCTCCAAGTGGCTTCAACAACCCTCTAAAAGAATGCAAATGACCAGCTGTCTGCAAGGAGTATAAAGCCTTCCATTCCCCACCATCCAGCCGTTGAGGCCACCTGGAGGTTTGTTTACCTGTGTCGTCAGGGTCACCTGAGTGGTGCAAACAATAGTGTTTTGTAGTGAGTAGTGACCCTGAGGATACAGGTAAACCTGCAGGTGGCCTCAACGACTCTCTAAAACACATGTCAAACACAAGGCCCGGGGGCCGGATGCGGCCCGTGAAGTGGTTTCATGTGGCCCACGAAGCCATCCTGGAAACAGTGAGGGAACGGCCCCCTCTGCCTTGGCCCTGGCCCAGGCCGGCCGGAAGCCCATGTACAATTTTGTGGTGGCCATCTATGCTGAAACGCATTCAGTCTTAGCTCCACAAGTCCGTCTGGAAACAGCGAGGAACCAGCCCCTGCCGCGTCGGCCCCGCCCCCTGGGTGCATGCTGGGCAGGTGTCACCCTCTGTGAGGAATGAAGAAATGGACCATGCCTTGGCGCTTGCCCCGGTCCCACCCCCTTCTGCCAGAGACCCTCAGATCTGTCCCACTCCTGCCCAGGCCCCCACAGGCACCCTTGACGCGAATGATGTAGAGCTGGCCACACCCACCCAGTAGGCCACACCCACTCCATCCACACCCACCCAGTAGGCCTCACCCACCCTGGCCACACCCACCCAGCCCCCCACCGAGGGCAACCGCAATGCTGATGCGGCCCTCAATGAAATTGAGTTTGACACCCCTGCTCTAAAAGACTGCAAATGACCAGCTGTCTGCAAGGAGTATAAATCCTTCCCTTCCCCACCATCCAGTCAGAGCTGAAGAAGCTTCTGGGATGAGAAGCGAAAGGTCTTCAAAGAAAAAACAAGGAAGTCCAGTTGCCTCCTGAAAAAAGCCCCTTTGGGACAAGGATGGGGTTATTTGAAGTTGCTTTCTCGCGCTTCTTAAAGACGCATCCTCCTCTTTTTTGCAAATCTCCCCTTCCGCGGATCCTCGTCTTCCTCTCTGATTCCCAAGGCCAGGTCTGCTTTCCTTTCGGAGACCCCCCCCTTTTCCCAAGCCTGACACGACCTTGTTTTGAAGGGGTGGCAAGAGAGGGGCTGCTCTAACTCCCTCCCTCCCTCCCCTCCCTGTCATTTCCCAGGGCGCTTTGCCGTACGCGACATGCGGCAGACGGTGGCGGTGGGCGTGATCAAGAACGTGGAGAAGAAGAGCGGCGGGGCTGGCAAGGTCACCAAGTCCGCACAGAAAGCTCAGAAGGCTGGCAAATGAATCGTGGGTGCCCCGTGCCTCGCCCAGCACCCATCACCCCGACCTGGATGCCGTCACCTTCCCCCTGAGGCGCATGTCTACACATCCGCTTGTAAAAGTTTGTACGTGAACGACTGGATGCTCACTATTAAGGTCCAGTGGAAGTTCTTTAAAAGGAAAAGCATGTCCCAGCGTTCGTGAGCCTCCGTGTTCAATTTTACCAATAAAACTGGTACAACATCCCACTCCCCTAGCCTCTTGGCGTCTCCTCTGTGTGCCTGTGATGTCTGTAATGTGCGGAGGGAGAGGTTTGGCTCCCTCGGTGGCGTCTTTTGCAGCTGGCTCTTCTTCTCTTGGAGGTTGAGTTCACACAGCACCCTCAATAAAGGAAGCACTAAGAACAGGCGCATCCACACTGACAGGGCAAGCCACTTACAGATGAGCAGAGAACACACACCACCCCTTACTAGCACTGATGATGTTCCCTAATTTGGTAATGCAAGAAAAAAAACCAAGCTCAGGGAACACCAAGGACCCCACAGTTTTCCTCCTCCTCCTCCTCCTCCTCCTCCTCCTCCTCTTCCTCTTCCTCTTCCTCCTCCTCCTCCTCCTCCATCATTCCACACACCCCACTCCCTTCTAGCACTGATGATGTTACCTAATTGGGTAAGGAAATGTTTAGAAGTAAAACAACCAAACTCAGAGAGCACCCAGGACCCCACAGTTTTCCTCCTCCTCCTCCCCTCTTCCTCCTCCTCCCCTCCTCCTCCTCCTCCTCCTCCCACACACCCCACTCCCTTCTAGCACTGATGATGTTACCTAATTGGATAAGGAAATGT